TTACTACAAAATGTCATTTCAGTACCATAAAGCTAAGCATAGGAAGCCATTTTCTGGCTGGTCAGAACCATTTTTGTAGAACAGATTGTTAGCACCAGAATTTGGTCAGTTAGTTTGTGTGTGGACTTTTTCAAGGGCTGGGATTAGAAGTAGTCTCCTTTCCATAAAAGCAAACTATCTAAATTTTTTTTTTAGTGTTTATTTATTTTTGAGACAGAGAGAGACAGAGCATGAACGCGGGGGGGGGGGGGGGGTCAGAGAGAGGGAGACACAGAATCTGAAATAGGCTCCAGGCTCTGAGCTGTCAAGCACAGAGCCCGACGCGGGGCTCGAACTCATGGACCGCGAAATCATGACCTGAGCCAAAGTCGGCCGCTTAACTGACTGAGCCACCCAGGCGCCCCAAAAGCAAACTATCTAAACATTAAAAACAGACAAGACTGAAGGATAAGGGAAGTCTAGGAGACATGTCATCAGAGAAAAGAAAGAGTACTTGTCAGACAGAGGAAAAATAAAAAACAAAAACTGAAAAAAACAGTAATTCATTTAGTATTACTTATGTAACTACTCTATATATTAAAGATTTTTTTTTTTTGAGAGAGGTATTATAGTAGGAAATGTGGCCAATACTTCAATGAATTTGAATAAACATGGAAAGAGATGGGATCATGCTATAACTCCAGTAACACATGGCAACCCATACGGGACTACTTTTCTAACCACAAGAAATAAAAATATAATGATGAAGCAGAATTTTTTAAATTAATTAATAATTATTATCAATTAAAAAAATTTTTTTTGAGAGGGAGAAAGTGGAGAAGAGGGGCAGAGAGGGAGAGAGAGAATCTCAAACATGCTCCATTCTCAGTGCAGAGCTTGATGCAAGGCTGCTCCCGTGACCCTGGGATCATAACCTGAGCAGAAATGAAGAGTTGGATGCTCAACTGACTGAGTCACTGAGGTGTCCTATGAAGATGAAGCAAATTATTGTCCATATGCCCACACCTCAATAGATTCTAGATTATAAAAAAGCAAAAATGTTTTTTAGGTTTATTTGTTTTCACAGGGGTAGAGGGGCAGAGAGAGAAAGAGAGAGAAAGAATCCCAAACAGGTTCCAAGAGCTTAATGCAGGGCTTGATCCATGAATTGTGACCTGAGCCGAGATCAAGAGTTGGTGACTTAACTGACTAAGCCACCCAGGCACCCCTCAATTACATAATCTTTTCTTAGAGTGAGAGGTAAAGAGAGAAAGAGAACGAGAGAGAGAATCCCAAGCAGGCTCCATGCTGAGATCAACAACCCTGGATAACCACCTGAGCTGAAATCAAGTTAGTCACTCAACAAACTGAGCCACCCAGTGCCCCTCAATTACATAGTCTTTATGACACCAGTAACAGCAGGCAAAAATTCTAAAAATTAGGCTTGCCAGGAAAAATTCTGCAAACTATTTTTCATGCTAGATAAATCATTATTTTACTATAGTGTGACTTATACAGATTCTACAGGATCTGTACTTTTGCTTCTACAAAAGTGTGTACTAATTATTAGTACTAAATATGTGTCAAAAATCCTTATTCTTGAGGATCATCACTTATTACAGTTAATGTATAAATAAAATAAATGTATAAATAAATACTGCTATTGAAAATGCTTAGTCTCCTGTAAACATTTACCTAGAATAGGATAAGAACACAAATGTTTCAGAGTGAGGAATTAAACATAGACTGTAATTTATAAAACTACAGTTAGTTTAGCAACTACCCTCAAAAAAATAATGAAAATACAGGGTGCCTGAGTGGCTCAGTGGGTTGAGCGTCCTACTTAGGCTCAGGTCATGATCTCACATTCTGTGGGTTCAAGCCATGCGTCGGGCTCTGTGCTGACAGCTCAGAGCCTGGGGCTGCTTCAGATTCTGTGTCTCTGTCTCTCTTTGTCCCTCCCCTGCTCATGCTCTCTCTCTCTCAAAAATAAACATTAAAAAAATAATAATGAAAATACGTGTCTATGTGCAAAAGTTACTTGGAATTCTATAGTTTCTCCCATACTTTTAGAATTTATCCAGTCAGCTATTTCTGAATTGTCTGTTTTAAAATTTTTTGTATGTTTATTTATTTTTGACAGGGAGAGAGAGAGACAGAGAGAGAGAGAAAAAAACATGAGTGGGGGAGAGCGAGACACAGAATCTGAAGGAGGCTCCAAGCTCTAAGGTGTTGGTACAGAGCCAGGCATGGGACTCGAACCCACAAACTGTGAGATCATGATCTGAGTTGAAGCTGGTTGCTTAACTGACTGAACCACCCAGGCGCCCCTAAATTGTCTTTGTTTTTAAATAACTCAAAGTTTAAATATATCTTACCTATTTCAGTTAGAAATTTATTTCCCTGAAATATACAAAACTGTATTTCTTTAGATGCCTATTAAAACTTACTACATTTTACCATTAACAACTGGAGGTATAGTTTGCAAATGTGTTACAGGAAATTTATTATGAAATTTCCCTTTTCCTGACTATATCTCTCCCTTCTTACCCTTTTTGATGTGGCCTCCTCTCTACGATTAACTCTGAAAATCAGCTGTCTTCAGGTTGTTTTCTTAGAGTAAGTTCCACAGAGATAGCTTTTATCTCCACACATCTGTGGGGTGAAGTCAGCTCAGAATTTACTCCACAATCTTTCCAGAAATTCTGAAATTTGCTTAACCCTTATTTACTTTTCAGAGAGAGAGACAGGCAAGCAAGCTTTCACACAAGCGGGGGAGGGACAGACAGACAGACAGACAGAATCTGAAGCAGGTTCCAGGTTCTGTGCTAACCGTGAGCTGTTAACCTGGGCTCAAGCTCACAAAATCAGGACTCCAGCCAAAGTCCAATGCTTAACCAACGGAGTCAGCCAGTCTCCCCTGAAATTTGTCTTTAGAAAAGAGTTAACAGAGGTCTGTTTCTCTCCCAATT